GGTTTAAAACATTTATTATCCTTACTGGAATGTTACTTAGATCTTTCAGTTTTTATTGTCTTACTATTCTACCACAGCCTACAAAACAATTGATGTACCTTTAACCTTCTATAAGGTTCATATTAAGAAATTTTCATGATCATTTTAAAAGGAGGAGCGAAACAGTGGCTCAGTGGTTAGCACTGTCTCCTCAATTCCTGGCGGGGTCAGTTGGCATTTCTGTGTGGAGTTTGCATATTCTCCCCATGTTGGGAGAATAGACAAAGACATGCGCTATAGGTGAACTGAACAAACTAAATTGGCCATATGTGTGTAAATCAGTGTGTATGGCTGTTTCCCAGTACTGGGTTGCAGCTGAAAGGGCATCGGTGCGTAAAACATATGCTGGAAAGGTTGGTGGTTCATTCCGCTGTGTTGACTCTCTGATAAATAAGAGACTAAGCTGATAGAAAATGAATGAAGGAGTTTTTAATAGAAGAAAGAAACTCAAAACTTGCTTGGAATCACTTGAGGGAGAGCAAATAGCGAGTAAATGTAGATTTCTGTGTGAACTATCCTCTTTAATAGTGTCGGTACATGTTAAATGGATCATGGACACCAACAAGATTTGTTGTGCTTTTTAATTATAATTATTAATTTCTGGAAAACTAACCTAAACAGCTTATCCAGACCAAAAAGTTTAAAAAATGAAGACACAACATACTCAACATACACAACAATCTGTGTTGTCCAAGAAACTAGTTTATTCTCTAAGGCAGACTTCATCAAACTTGTTCCTGGAGGTCCGGTGTCCTGCAGATTTTAGCTCCAACCCTAATCAAACACACCTGAACAAGCTAATCAAGGTCTTACTAGGTATACTTGAAACACTCAGGCAGGTGTGTTGAGGCAAGTTGGAGCTAAACCCTGCAGGGCACCGGACCTCCAGGAACAAGATTGATGAGCCCTGCACGAAGATCATGCCAGCTTTTTGGCTATTTCTTTATATATATGTGCTCAGCATATAAGAGTGCACCCATCTCTCATTTAAAAGAATATTATCTATAGGATACTTTATTATATTTGTGCATATACATAAGTTTGGTCAGTACTGAAGCCAAATCTGGAGCTAATCTAACAAAATAACTTACAATTATGGTAAAAAAATAAAAAATAAATAAATAAATAAATAAAAATCGCAGCCCAAATATATATGCAAGGGAAAATCAAAATACAATTTTCAAAAATAGCAAAAATCAAGAGAAACAAAAAATATATACAATTTTGTAATTTGTTGTAATTTGTAATTTTGTTCTTGCACTAATATATATTACCCATATTCACTGAGAAAGGAAAAAAAAAATCATTTTCACAATGTAGTGTACTCATATATGCTGAGCACTGAGTGTGTGTGTGTGTATACAGCTCAAAGTGACATTTAAAGGCTTAACTAGGTTAATTATGTTAACTAGGCAGGATAGGGTAATTAGGCAAGTTATTGTAAAACGATGGGTTGTTCTGTAGATAATCAAAAAAAAAAAAAATTTTGACCTTAAAATGGCTTTAAAAAATTTAAACCTGCTTTTATTCTAGCCTAAATAAAACAAATCGGACTCTCCCTAAGAAAAAATATTATCAGACATACTGTGAAATATTCCTTGCTCTGTTAAACTTCATTTGAGAAATATTATTATTATTATTATTAAATTCTGACTTCAAATATATAAATAAATATATATATATATATATATAAATAAAGAAAAAATTGGCTTAATTTCAAGACAACTTTAAAAGAGATGTATCATAGACAACAGTTGCTTTTTTGCAAATTATTTTCAAAATTAATTTACAAAAATAGCTTGTTAAAAAGGGAAAAATATATAGTATGTATAATTTGTCTGAAAACCACCTCAAATTTGGCTTTTCTTTTAAGGAAAAAAAAACACCACTCAAACTTATTTGCGACACTTTTAAACACGCTAATGTTTCAAAAACACCTTTCAGGATTGAGACAAAAATATTTAATTAAAAAGCTAAATTCTGACATTTTTAAAAAGAGTTATTTCTGGGCTGTGGTTTGCTGCTGATCTGCGCTTCTGCATCAGAGCAGGACTCCTTTTGTTCCTCTAATACCCTTTTGTAAAATCTCTGGCCGACGTTTAGCTGAAACAAAAGACAGGCCGGTCAGCGGGACGTTTGTCCTTCGCAGGGGTCGCGGCGGTCACGAGGCTTTACGGCCTGAAAGCGTTCATTAAAGTGAGGTCTGTTTTGTTGCAGTGCTGAATAGTTTGGACAGGAGGAAGGACACTTTCTTTAACATCAGAAAAGGAGAAGTTTGTTATTTAGGGAATGCTGATAAACACAAAGGCCTTTAAAGGGGGAGTCTGTCTTTTGGCGTGTTTGTCATTCCGCTATAGCTAGAGGTTTCTCAGATGAAGGGATCAATATTTATTTGTCCTGTAGATGATTTAATGGCTGCAGCAGCTGCTCAATTCTCATACGCGGCTCTACTGGGACTCAAAGGCAAATTATAAAGCTTTCAAGAAGTGATAAACAGAGATTGATCTTTATATAACAAATAATACATTCAATGAGCAGTTTGGATCTTTAAAAATGACTTGAAACACCATTCAAGTTCTATTTTACTGACATGATATAAAAAGGATTTAGTAATTATGGATGGGTGGACGGACGGACGGATGGACGGACGGACAGACAGACAGATTGATTTAAAATTTTAGCTGGAATAGAAAAAAAATTATAATTTTATAATAATTAATTTGTAATGGATTTAATTATGGTAGACTTAGTGAAAATAGTTTTAATAGTGAAAAAATTGTTTAAATAGTGTCTAAAATGCCATCTTTTAATCCAATAAGAACTGATTGGGTTGTGATAACATTTTGAAAACTGATAAATAAATCAAAAAAAGGACTTTTGCATTGGATAAAGACAAATGTAGGCAGTCAGGTAAACAAACATACAAACAGATTGTTCAATAATGTTTTAGTAATTTAACTATACTACTCAGGCATGTGATTGGCAGAGGATAAAAAAGAAGGAAGGACAAGCAAACTATGAAAGGGCAAAGCATCAGGTTGTCTGCTTTGATGACAGTAAACCTCACAATGAATTTATTTCATTGAAATTTTTTTCCTGTTATTTTGAATTGTCCATTTAATATTTTGATTTATTTTATTTTACCTTTGGATTCTTTTAATACTTTCTAGTTAATATTGCTCAATGTCTTCCTCGTAGTGCCATAACTCTATATGAATTTCGCAAAAAGTTTTCATATTTTTAAGTATTGTGCAGAAACTTTGCCACAAATGCAGATTAAGGAGGTATTCAGATATCCCTATATTGCACCACAGCACTTTAACACAATATCCACAATTACATATTTTAGAGTTTACCTTACATAATTACCTTTGAATTTGAGGTTTTATCTGACATTTTTGTCACAATTGAGTTGTTGACATATTTTTATTAAATGACAACTTTTTTACCATGTGGGTTTTTTTATAAGTCGTTTACATTTTAACCACTTAAACTCTGCTGCTATTTGGGGTTTTTCCGCCTGGATTTTGCCTACCCAAATTTAAAAGCTTCCCAAATCCACATGCAGAGGTTTAAATGCAAAAATTTGTTATCATTTTAAAGAAAACCCTTTGAATTTTCATAAAACGCTATTGAAAGTGTTTAAAATAACTGTATATGTCGTCTGTGTTATAATAAACACCTAAAAAAAGAGGCACTTTTTGTATTTTTTTTTTTATAAACTCAAATTTGAAAGTGTACCTTTTAGGTTGTGTGTGGTCTAGCGTGCTGTAATTAATTTTGGTGGTTCCTGCTCATGTCTGTAATCATAGGAAAAAAGAAAAAGGTCTCTACCATAATCTATGCAAAAGTTATTGCATTCCAACTGATGAGAGGTGCTGTACAAGCCACAGAGACTGATCCTTGTTTACATATTTCACTATTCTTTTGTTTGATCAAACATAATTCACTGTGTTTGGACCACATCAGACATATAAAAGAATTACTTATGCATATCACCTCAGAAACAGAGGAGAATGGCCCTGAAGGGCACAGCATAAGGTAAGAGATGACAGCTGTCTGTGCTATCTGGGGCTGCTTATTGATCAATAATGTATTGTTTACATTTGTGCGCCATGAAAACACCACAATTCATTCAACAACTGTTAGGCATATGAATATAATTCAGTAAAAAGAATGCTAGAACTGTATGAGCACCAGCAAGAGCTTTCATTTGAGCTATAACTTATACATGTGTCATATAAAAAAAAATATGAAAATGAACCAATGTAAAATACCTAGCTCGGGTATCCAAAATACTGTGTATTTAAGTGTAAATAACTTTTATACAGTAGTATAAAAACCAAAGTGATGCATATGTGCATAAAATATAGATTCTACCCTTTCAAACGACACCACTTACGGGGGTCTGGTGCAACGCTAGCCCTTTAAATCTGAAAGCGAAAGTCGATGTCGTCACGGACCCGGTACCGGGTCCGCAGAGTTTAAGTGGTTAATACTTTTTATTTAACAAACAAATGTTACACACATACTGTTTGCTAAGGAATGCAAAAACTTTGAAGTTCAGTATCTCAAAATCATTTAGAACACCAATAGAACCTTGTAATTCCAAGGTTATGATATAGCAAAGTCAGCTAGTGTATTGTTTCTGACGTGATTCATATTATTATTATTTTTTTCAGTTATACTTGTTTTTTTAAGTGTAAAGCAGTTTGAGAATTAAATTTTAAGGTTCTAAATAAAAGAGTTATTATTTTTATTATTGCCATAAGATTTTTTGCATATTAAAGTCTCAAACATAAACGTCAATGAGAAGGTGAATAATGCTCCTGTAGAACAAGCGATCAACATTTCTTGTGCAAAGAAACACAATGTTAAAACAAGGAGAAAGGGTTAAGTATGTTAACCTTAAGGACATCTATGAGCCACTGTGCTCCAAAAGAAAGTTTGCATTCAGAAAAACATCTGAAACGTGTAGTTTGGAGCAATATTGTTTCTGTTTTACTTCAGTTTCTCATCAAATCTTCTGACCAACAAAATGCTCTTTAGTATCTGACATGCCTCACCCCCTTCGAAACAATTGCTTTATGCGCATGCGCTCAGCCACTCTCACTGGCAGAACTGCAGTAGCAACAAAACACTGTTGGGGTTGTTTTTTCAAAAGGGGAATGAAGTACCTTATCAAAGTCTTCCTGCGTGGCTCTCATCTCCTTCCAGGTCTTGTTAAGCAGCTGAATGCAGATGCAAAACAGCTCCTCCAGTAGACGGTCCTGAGCGAAGAAGATCGGGTGATAGTCTGAGCCCGTCTCAGAGGCTAGAGAGAGGAGTAAATAACAGCTATTAAACAAATAAGAAGACCAACTATATATGTTGAAATTATATCCGTCTCACTGTCTAAAGCAGAGATGCCAAAAGGTGGGCCCCGCAGGCCAAAGTTAGCTCATTGTAAGCTGTGATTTGGCCCACCATCCCATCTAAGAGGAGAGTAATAATGATGGAGAGGGTCGGGGCAAATGCCTTTAACACTGACTTCAGAGACGGTCATCACCTTTTTTTGTTTGTTTTATTGCTGTTTTAATTGTTTCAATAAATTATGTAAATGATTTAGATTTTTAAAAATGTAAATACTGTCACTCATCGGATGGAGGACTATTCAGAAGACATCCCGCAAGCAAATCAAGGCACAAACTAGTGTAAGTCTGTAATAAATTAGATTGTTTTGTTTTATCTTTAATAAGTTTATTATAAAATGTATAGATTCATATAAAATACTGTATTAGTTAATATAAAATACAGTATTAGTTCATATAAAATACAGTATTAGTTAATATAAAGCAATGTTTTTTTTGTTATTTTTAAATAAATTAGGAAATTACCCATGACAACTACATTTATCTTCGGCCCACTAGCCTCAACCAAGTTTGGTTTTTGGCCCTTTGTAAGAAAAAGTTTGGACACCCCTGGTCTAAAGGTGCTTAGACCATTTTATAAAAAAATAGGTCACCAAAAATGAAAATCCAGTCATCATTTACTCATCCTAAACTTGTTAAGTTGTTGAATTTCTTCTGTTAAGCACAAAGGAAGATATACTGAATATAAATAATAATATTTTACTAATACAAAAATAAAGGGTCAGGTCAATATCCTCAGCATTAAATAAATGGAGATCTTTTAAACAAATGTTACTTAAAGGAAAATAATTAAATGCTCTTTTTAAATAAAAAGTAACACATTTTATTAAGATGAATTGTTGGTGATTGTATGGGTGTTAATGGTCAGACTGGGTAACTATATATGAAGGAAAATATAAAGGAAAATTAAGACCTGTTAAAAAAAGATTTAAGACCTACAACCAAACTGCAACCTCCTGCTCTCTTTCATGAAGCTAATACGGAAGAAACTCAAACTGCAATTCATAGAAATTCCGCTAGTCTTGGCTCTACAATAGAGCACATTTGCATTGACCCCAATGTAAAAATGGCCAACTTTAAACAGAAAAAATGTGTTTACAGCCTGGTAGAAAGAACAATTTTTGTGCAAATTATATATAATATTACCCTTCATGACAACTGTGAGGGTAGTGAAATTTTTTATAACTTTTCCGTTTTCTTTATATTAAGTTACATTAAAGTCTGTATAATTAAGGGCATGGTCACTTGAGTGACAGCTAGGTCTCGCCAGTGGTCGTCACTTCACCTCAGCTGATTCCGGCTGATTAGCTGCTGAACTCGGCATATACATCATATTTTTGTTTTGTTTTCTGTGCCTTTACACACTCAGTTTCCTTTTGGAATTATTTCTTACAATTATCAGATAATATGGCATGCTGTGAGTATATAATTGTGCTTTTTAACCAATTCACGTGGCCTCCATTTCCAAGATGAGTGAAATGATATACTTATATACCATATCTATTAATGTATTAATGTATTTTTAATGTAAAGCCTAAAACTTAGCTAAGACATTAAGACTTTTTAAGACCCCGCAGATACTCAGGGTCTGCTGCCATTCAAAATTTGACAAAGGTTTCCTAAGAGGGTTGGGCTTAAAGGGGTAGTTCACGCCAATAAATTTAAATCAATTAATAACAAATGACTTATTTCAAAATATCTCCTTTAGGTGTTTAACAGAAGAAAGAAACTCATAAAGGTTTGAAACATGTTGAAAACCTGTAACCACTGACTTTCATTGTATTTGCTTCTCCTACTATGGATGTCAATGGTTGCAGGTTTCCAGCTTTCAACTGACAAAGAAACTTACAAAGCTTTGGAACCACTTGTGTGTGAGTAAATAGTGAGTACATTTTTATTTTTAGGTGAACTATCCCTTTAAGTGTAGGGTAAGGCAACAATACTGTAAGCATTTTTTTAACAGTGTTAAAATATATATAAACCACATATTCACACACACAAACAGTAAAGCCTTGATCTGATCATTGTCACCATCTCCAGCATGTGTCACTTACGAGGTTCTCCGATGCGCAAGATCTCGCACAGGATGAGTGTGAGCTGGATGCTGCTGCGGGCGAACGGACACTCATGTTTGTCTTCTCTGCTGCTGTTCTCCAGCACAAACTGACACAAGGACACACAGACTATGAAGGCTCTGTGCAGACTGATGTGTACTTGCCTCAAAAATTAATATATTTATAGAAACTCTCACTCACCCGGCTGTATGCGTCAGGATAACGGGAGGCAAAATATGCCATTGTGTCCAACGCCAGTAGACCTGGAGGACACCGGCTCAGATCCTGACCAGGATTACTGTTATTCTGACAAAAAACAAACATAGAGCCTTAACTAAAATAAGACTTGATGGTTAAGTTGGTGTATTAGAAATTAACAAAGCAACTGTGCATGTGATATTTAAAATATAATATTTAAACTTTATACAGTATATACAGTGGGAAAAAAATTAGTCCTCCACTGAAATTTGTATTATTTGAAAACACTTTTTGCCAAAAAAAAAAGAACATTTATTGTTATGAACATTAACAGTTATAAACATTTTGTGCAGATACAATATCATATACATACAAAAGTACTACACTATTCTGCTTTTTCACAACTAAGAACCAATGACCATAAAAACAATATAGGTATTAAATTACACAATAAATGTAAAAAGAAGTTTATAAAAAAATAAATAACAAAAATAACTAGAAATAAAAGTAATAAATAAATAATTTAAAAATTAAAATAATAAAAAAGCTTTGTTCCTCTTCATCTTCAAGATCAATGGTATCACTATAATTTAACAAAGGTTTCCATGTTTTGTAAAAAGATTTTAAAGACCCTCTTAATGAAAACCACCTTTTTTCCAACTTTAAACACAAAAATTATTCTTTTCTCCATTTGTCATATGAAGATGGAAATGTTAAAGAATAAGCCTCCTTGCCAATAATGTGGTGGAAGCCACAACGTATTGTTGTTGAAGGCAAAAGGGATTCGAATAGTGCTGTTAGAGGGTTCGGAGTGGCTGATATGTTAAAAGTTTTACAAAAGTATCAAATATTTTAGACCAACACTGTCAATCTTGGACAAGACCAAAACGTGTGTGTGTGATTTGCTGGAGATTGTTGACACCTATTACAAGTATTAATTCTATTTGGGTATATTTTATCTAATCTGGCCTTTGTGTAGGGTAGTCTGTGAAAAATCTTGCATTGGATTAAACTGTTTCGGGCACATATAGAAGAACTGTGAACAAAATTGAGTATATAATCACATTCTATTTTACCCTTGTTCCCAGGTATTCTTAGGTAATTCGGAGGAGTCAGAAATTAAAGAATTTATTGACAGATGATAGAGACTATCCCTTTTCTGTCTGGGTTAAAAGAATGAATGGTGTTCATTTTTTAATCAGGAGGAAGATTAGGAAACCGAGTAATCTGATTTTGTACGAAACGTCTTATCTGAAAAAAACGAAAAGGAAAAAAATGAAAAGTTTTGGGAGGATGAAACTTTTCAGACAAATCTGAATATGACAAAAATATACCTTTATCATACAAGTCCTTAATGGTATTAAGGCCCTTAGAAGACCAGTCACGAAAAACAGAATCAAAACACAACGGTAGAAAAGATACATCCTTAACTAAAGGTGTTAAAGTGAACGGACTTATTAGCTCAAAGTGTTTCCTAAAAGTAACCCATGTTTTAATAGTATTGATCACCACTAAACTGTCCGAGACAATTCTACAATTTATAGGAAGCTGAAAGCAAATCACTGAAAGAAGGGAAAACATTAAGGATAAAAGTTTTAATTGGAACTAGATAGGATGTTTGGAAACTTTTGAAATGCCAGTCCAATGCGAAAGCTTGTTGATATTATAGGACCAGTAATACTGCTGAAAATTTGGTAAAGCAAGGCCCCCTTCTGACTTGGGAAGTTCAAAAATATGTTTAAATTTCTAATTTCTAATAACAAATTTCTTGTCTTTGACATGACAGTATATAATATTTTGCTAGCTATTTTGCAAGATACTAGCAGTCAGCTTAATGTCGGTCAACAACATGATGTGAAAATAAGGGATATGAACTGTTTTGAGGATTGCATAAGAAAGGGGCAATGCCGCCTGTAATGGAAAGGAAGAAAATCCTGACATTTTGATATTTATTTCAAAGTGTTTTCATGCCTAAATAAAATGAAAGCACAGAACAAATTCACATTTAGGAGCAAGGGGCGTCCCCTGATGGTTCGGTTGTATGGATTAAATGGGAGAATTGGTTCTTTAATGTTTATTGCCACCCCTTGATTAAAAATGAGGAGAATTACGGGAAAATATTTTCACGAGATGATAGCGCGATAGAATTGTAAAATACGGGAGAATCCTGGGAAAAACAGGAGGGTTGACAGGTATGGTTTAATGTGCAATTTGATGGCTTAACAGTAGTTAGTTAGACAAAAGTAGTTTGTTCTGTAACCACTGACTTTCATTGTATTTGCTTTTCCTACTATGGATGTCAATGGTTGCTGGTTTCCAGCTTTCAGCTGACAAAGAAACTTACAAAGCTTTGGAACAACTTGTGTGTGAGTAAATAGTGAGTACATTTTTATTTTTAGATGAACAATCCCTTTAAGAGTAGGGTAAGGCAACATACTGTAAGCATTTTTTTAACAGTGTTAAAATATATATAAACCACATATTCACACACACAAACAGTAAAGCCTTGATCTGATCATTGTCACCATCTCCAGCATGTTCTGTAGCCAATTGAAAAAAAGGTGGATAATAATATTGACCTCAAAAATTGTTGTTGTTTTTATAAAATGTAAAAACTGCTTTTATTCCAGCCAAACTAAAATACATTTCACTAGATATGAAAATTTGAATTCTGTGGAAGTTGCCTAGTAAAAACATTTTTACCAAAGAATAAACATTTTATGTGTGTGTTGCAAACAAAAAAATTAAAGGTATGTATGCCCTAAAGAATAATGATGAGCCTTTGAAAATAATGCCCGCCTGAGATAGAGAAGTAAATCAGAAACTTGGGTGTGCATTATTTTCAAATAAATCTACAGTCAATTACTCCACTTATAGTTTAGATTAGATTAAACTTTATTGTCATTGCACATGTACAAGGCAGCAAATGCATGTTAGGTCTAACCAGGAGTTTTTTTATTATGTAAATATTCAACACTAAATAATGCAGTGTTTATGGGGATACACCTAAAGAAAAACGTTGTTTAGATGTTGCAGGACTTATGTTCTTAAACATCTCAGGCAAATTCTTTTGTTTTAATCTATTTTGTTTGGCTGTTGTAGGCTGAAGTAATTAGAAATTGTTTGGTGTTGTTTTATAAAACTGTAATACAGTCAAGATCTGCCTGGTATTACTTTAGCTGTGCGGTTATGTGTAAATAATCAACAAATCTGTAGTATAACCAAACTCACAGAAAAGCCGAGCTTCTTAAACTCTTTAGCACATAGCGAGCGTCTGCGTTCATTACTCAGTCCACTCTCGCTCTCCGTCTCGAACGCTGCCTGACGCAGCCCGTGCAGCATTTCCCTCTGCTCCTGCACAAAACACCACAGAAAAATCAGGACAACAGTGAAGATGCTAAGAAAATAAATGAAGCAGAAGAAGAGTGAACCTGGCTGTAGGAGTCCAGAGGAGTCTTCATGCGGGGCTCCAGGTGGTTCAGCCTGACTGTCTGCAGCACGTACAGGTAATGGGCCATTTCATCTCCTACTGAACTGGAGCTGTGGATGATGTTCTGCACACAGATTTACACTCTTACTGAAGTGCACTGGAACATGTTTATGCTAACAGGATTACACTCCATCATATGAATGAACAAAAGTTTAGACTCTCACCTTGTGAATGTACTGCCGCAGGTTTCTCTTCTCAAGAAATTCAAAGAGCTCCTGAAATCATTTCAGACTATTTAAAACTAGACAAACTTTGATAAAAAATTAGATAGACAGCAGATAGAATGATAGAACATTAAATAGTAAGACAGACAACGGATGGATGGATATAATGACAGATATATAGAACAAAAGATATATAAAACGATAGAGAGAATGATAGCCAGATAGATAGCCAGATGGATGGATGGATGGTCAGACAGATACATGTATATGTAGATAGATATGATATGCAGATAGATGTATAAAACGACGGATATACAGAACGACAGAGAGATGAAACGACAGAGAGAACGATAGACAGCGAATAATGGATCAAAATATCAATGGATCAAAATGGAGCAAAATAATCTTATCAAATTTCGAAAAACAAGATTATTTTGCTTACCCCATTGACAGATTATTTTGCTTGATTTAAGAAAAAAAACTCACTTCGTTTTAGCATATTATTTTTTAAAACAAGACAATATGTTTTACTTGTCTAGACAATGCTTCTTGATTTAAGAATTTGTAGATATTTGGACTAGAAACAAGACAAAAAAATCTAAGTAAGAAAAGCATTTTTTGCAGTGTAGGTGTATAGATATGTAGATAGAAGTATAAAACGAGAGATATGAAACCACAGAAAGATAGAACAATAGAAAGACAGATTTATAGAACAATAGATAGATGGAAAAACAAACAGAACAATAGACAAGAGCGAGCGACAGACAAACAGACAGACACATACATGCATAGATACATACATACAGACAACGGATGGATGGATGGATATAACGACAGATATATAGAACAAAATAAATAGAATAAAACGATAGAGAAATGATAGCAAGATAGAACAATAGACGGACGGATGGACAGATAGATAGATAAATGGATGGACGGACGGACGGACGGATATAGATAGAAATGTAAATATGTAGCTAGATGTAAAAAATGATAGATACATATATAACGATAGATAGATGGAACGACATACAGAGAGAGAGAACAATAGACAGAGCAATAGACAGAGCGATGGATGGATGGACGGACGGATAGGTGTATAGTTTTGTAGATAGAATGATAAAACGACAGATATAAAATGACAGACAAATAGAACATTAGATAGACAGATTTATAGAATGATAGACAGACAGACAGACAGACAGACAGACAGACAGACAGACACAGACAGACAGACAGACAGACAGACAGACAGACAGACAGACAGACAGACAGACAGACAGACAGACAGATAGATAGATAGATAGATAGATAGATAGATAGATAGATAGATAGATAGATAGATAGATAGATAGATAGATAGATAGATAGATAGATAGAAGGGATAAATGGATATAACAACAGATATATAGAACAACAAATATATAAAACGATAGAGAAAATGATAGCCAGACAGAACAATAGACGGATGGATGGACAGACATATAGATAGATGTATAAATATGTAGATATTTATATTTAAAATTTATCTATATGTAGATATTTATTTGTTTATAAAACGACAGATATATAGAACGAAAAATAAATGGAACGACAGAGAGAACGATAGACAGAGCAATAGACAGATGGATGGATGGATAGGTGTATAGATATGTAGATAAAAGTATAAAACAACAGATATAAAAAGACAGATAGATAGAACAACAGCTAGACGGACAGATTTATAGAATGATAAATATATAGAACGATGGACAGAGAACGTTAAACAGCACAATAGACAGACAGACATTTATATAGATAAAACTGCTACTATGTTTGAAAAGTTTACAAACATTTGACCAGATTATATCATGTTAAAACACATTTCTAGCCAGATTTGACACTGCTAGCAAATCTTGGCACATTGCTAATATGCTCAAAACACTTCTAGCATGTTTCTAGCCTTATTTAACAATGTTTTTGACCGGTTGCTAACATTTTACTGGCATAGCATAACAGCATTTTATCATACTATTAACATGTTTCTAACATTTTTTTCTGTATTGTTAGCATGTTTTTTAACGTGACTTATATCACACAAGCACATTTTAGCAGGTTGCTAAAACGTTTCTGCCATAGCTTAACAACTTCATCATGTAAACATGTTTCTAACATAATTTTCCATACTGTTAGCATGTTATAACATCATGGCTTATCACTCTAGCCTGTTTTAGGTTGCAACATGAACAAAGATTCAACATGTTTAATCAGGTAATTTAACACAGACCTACAATATTTTAACATGTTGCTTTTGTATGTTTCCAACAAGATTTAGCCCAATAGCCATTATGTACAGTATTTCTGGCATGATGTGTTTTAACCCGATGTATGTTTGTGCTATGAGGTTCAAGTTAGTAAACACATTGACTAATGGAAGCTTATTGTAAGCTGTGACTGACTTAACACACAGCTAACATGTTTAAACCCCCTGCTTGTTATTTGGGACATGATTTAAGACACTAGCATTATTTACGTTTTTTTCTTTAATGATTTTCCACTGCGAGGGAAAAGTGTTTGTAACATGACTTAACACACTACAAACATATTTTAACACATGACCAGCATGTTTTGAGAATGATTTAACACGGGTAATAGTTTTCATATGTTGCCAGTGCAATTTGACACAGCAAATAACAGTTTTTTAGTTTAATATTTTTTCTCAATGTAATTGTATCCTGTGTTGGAAATCTAAACCAGATGTCCTTATAATGAACGTTTAGACTAGCAAAACAAGCAGCAGTGATTGAAACACTTCCTGATTTGGACAGATGGTGGCAGTAAAAGCAGGATCTGATCCGAGTGTGTCTGACCTGTCTGTCTGCTTCTCCTCCAGCCTGCAGCAACGCCATCAGCAGAGCCATGGCCTTCGTCTGCAGCTGCTGGTTTGTTCTGTAGTGTTATTTAATGAGGGGACAAAAAAAGAAAAGGAAAAAAAAACAGACAAAATGAGAAGAAAGGTGATTTAACAGTCTAGACCATGTTCATCTTAAATGCAGACATGAGCTACAGGAAAACAATTGCAATGACACAATGCAAAAATATTATTCTTATTATTATTAATTAGTATTATTATTCAAATAAGTTGGTTGGTATTTATTTTATACAAACAATATATTAGTTATGTAATCATTATTTTATACATTTGTATAAACTTGTTATTATAAATGTATACTGTTAATATTACTTAAGTGATAATTACAGGTTTAAAACTTAATATCTTATCAAAATATAAATATAAATTATATAATATATTTAAAATTATTAAAATACACATTAAAAGATATAATTATAGTAATATAATAATAACTGTAATTACAGGTTTTATCTGATAAAACATTTCTCACTTATAAAACATTTTTATTCATATCGACAAAATTAATAAAAGAACTATACAAAAATTATGATAACAATTACCTTGTCCCCAAAAAACTTAAAGGTGCAGTGGGTGATTGTCATCAGAACATTTTTGTTGTGCTGGTTGAAAGTCTCTTCACTGTCCAATAGTTATGATTAAAGTAAATGATCTAAATGTATTTATATGTATTTTTATGTTCTGGCTAGCTAAGCATAAAACTAAAAAATGTTCATCCAATTAAATTTTGTTGGGCCAACATCTCCCATAATTCCGATAAGTAGCCCAAACTGTCAACAAATGTAGATTTGGACTTCTGCGCATCTCTGTTTACGCATACACGCCATTGGCGCGTGCCCGCCAGCATGCAGGCCGCACACTCACGACACGTGCACATGACACAATCTCAGTCGCGGCAAAATCAAATGCTGAATCAAAACTTTTTAAAATCCAGAATCAATATTGGAGTACTTTTGTACGCTGGAGGAAGGACGACTCCATGGCTAAAGTATTTCTGTTAGACAGGTAATGTTCTGTTTTAAGACTATTTTAGTCCCCCAAAGCTGATGTAGAGCGTGTTGTGTTATGATGAATAATAAGCACAGACGTATTGTTCAGCAACGGTGAAAGATTAATGTGACTATTTTCAGTTTCAAAAGAGCCTTTTACAGCATCAATAATGTAGATTTTTATTCAGTTTAAAGAGCGCTATTCCACCTAGCTTTTACTGAGCTGAAGTTGCTTTTATATTCACATTGGTTCATTTTTGAACAATGACAGCCCCTCTATTGTTTATAATGCTAGACTGAATATTTGCTCTGAAATAGCATGCAAGTGTTGCTTTGTAATAATTTCAATTCCTTTACGCCGCTGGCCAAACACTAACTACATTTCTTACTGGCGAATGACATGAACTAGTGGGTTGTCTGCTGTCGTGTCGCGGTGCGCGCGGTTACTCATTCAGGGGGCGTGGCTTTAAAACACAGTCCCTCCTAGCCGACCGAAGATAATATGCTAAGCGAATTGTGTTGTTTCAACTCACTTTAAGTACATAGTTTGAAAAAGGAGCAAAAGTCATTTTTGAGTGTATAAAACCTTAACAAAAATGAACTATAATTAAACTCTGGCAAAACAAAAGACTAGATCTTCATCCTCCTTAATCACTGTTCACCTACTGTAATGTATGTGTTTTCTAGTGTTTTTTGAGTGTACTGACTGTTGGCTGCTGTAGTTGCTCTTCTGCTGTCTACCTAGTGTGGATGGTGTAGTCTACGTACACCTGCAGATGTGAAAGGAGCCTCTCCAGCGTTATCTCCTGCTTGACCTCAGTGAACAGACTGCTGCTGCTGAGGACCATGCTCTCCAGGATGGCTAGCGACACCTGCTGGATGGACGTGTCCAGCACCTTCGCATTCACAAAACTGGCCATCTGGAAATATATCAATCACATCACATCATAAAGAGACGGTGACAATTATTAAAATAAAATTAAATAATGACTGCACATTTATACAAAAAGAAAGTTGCATTATGGGAGGCACTTTTCATTCTGTATCCCACTTTTATTATTTGGAATAATAATAATAACAATAATAATGGGAGACTCGGTGGCGCAGTGGGTAACGCTGTCACCTCACAGCAAGAAGGTTTTTAGTTCAAACTTCATTTGTATCTGTAGGTATAATTATTTTTTCAAGTATTATTCAAAGCTTTTTTAAATTAATAGTTGTTATTCGATATTATTGATATAAACTGATATAAATAAAGAAATCAGAGAGTGGAATTCAGTACCTTTTAAGACTTTTTCCACTACTTCAGGATTCAATCAGCAACATTTTAATTTCATTAATTTATTTTCTTGTTGGCTTAGTCCCTTTATTAATCTGGGGTCGCCACAGCGGAATGAACCACCAACTTATCCAGCATATGTTTTACCCAGCCTATGCCTTCCAGCTGCAACCCATCACGTGAACACGGGGAGAACATGCAAACTCCACACAGAAACGCCAACTAACCCAGCCGGGGCTCGAACCAGCGACCTTTTTGCTGTGAGCCCTCCTATAGCGATCTGCATTCCCGGGACCCGACCAGTTTACTTTCGGCGTGGGAATAAATTTCAGAATAAAACATGGTAGTGGTCGGAAACTCTTGTGTAATTTGAACACGAGCAGGTGCTGAGTGTCGCTTGCAATAGGCTGACTAGACTCTGTACCATCCAGCTGGGTGTTTTTTGGGATGCCCATTTAATCGCTGTACATTTTCTAATTCTTCCGTGGCCCAATATGTACCTACTATGTGTATAGAAATAATGATAATATAATATATGAAAAACAATCGGTAGTTGGCAAATATATTGAGTGGATATGCTTGCAAATCTGACTTTAAAAGAGTCAGTGCCTCACCAACCACAAACCTCACCACACATCACACGGCACTCATGTCTCATCACAAAGGGGCAAACAAAACTGACATTTAGACTGCAATCCTTGCTCAACCTACACTTTTATCTGTTATCTCTCTCTTTTGGTAGTGCCAAATTTTAATGAGAGATTTCGAAAACCAGATCTAAAATTAGTGGAACGGTCGGGTAAAAAAAGAGGCAAATCGGGAAGTGGGTGAACAAAGACTGAATATACGGCAGGAGCGGTATAAAGGCCCGTGCACACAGAGACGTTTTTTGCTCACTTTTTCAGTCGACGTTTACACCTCGTGACTAAATAAAGGGCGTCAATGTGTCACCAACGCGCAAAATGGCAGGCGCAAAATCGTCATTAAAAAAAAAACCCGTCTAATGCTCGTTTTTAAGTTGACGCGCCGTGTCAAAACCTTCTCCTCCAATCAGATCAGCACTTTTTATCACATATACGGAGCAGCTGAAGTTACAGTAAACAGCAGTTGGAGGCGCTCAAGCACAAAAGTTTCAATGCGAGCGCACATTGAAGAAGATGCCCTGAGGCGATATGAACGTTTAGCTGCTTATTGCTCTTGTGAACACTGATCATTTCTTCATTGCTAGAGCTGGAGCTGCTGCTTGAACCATCCATGCTTGTTCGAGTCACCAGTAACTTTTAACAACAAGTGTGTGAACTTCCTCTCCTCCTCTTCCTCTGTGTTATAAGCCAGTGTCAGAAGCTGAAAGTTGTGTAGCGCCTATAACGTCAAAGAGTGATTTTGCATACTCTTCAGCTTGACGCTAGTAAAAAGTGCTTTGGTTTGAATTCGGAAAAACGTCTCGTAAAACGCTGACGATAAACGCAAACGAAAAGCATCCCGGTGTGTAGGAGCCTTAAGACTGAATATACGGCAGGAGCAGGCAAGAGCAATTGTGAGCGAGATTAAAAATTTTATCCCGTGCAGATCTCCGCCCTCCTGTTTAAATATTTATTTTTCAAATATTTCCCAAATTATGTTTAACAAACTTTAAAATGCACGTTAAGCTGAATAATGGCATCTTAAAAAATATCTAGTAAAATATTATGTACTGTGATCATGGCAAAGATAATATTAATCAGTTATTAGAAATTAGTTATTAAAATATTATGTTTAGAAATCTTTCTATTAATCAGAAAATGGGGGAAAATATACAGCTGTATGTGCCAGACAAATTCTACAATTAACCAATCCAAATCATGTATTAGACATCTATTATTAGACTGGTGAAAGATTTGTAAAACAAAATTCATTTTGTATACAAAAATAAATAAATAAATGAAGTGTTTCTGCAAATTTAGTACCTTTTTGATAAAAACACTGGACAGATTCTCCCAGGACACAATACCATGGTCCATGAGCTCCATGAAAGCAGTGAGTGTGTGTGTCATGATCACAGGAGACCTAGAGTAAAAAAAAAAAAACACACACTTTCAACAGTTCAATCTTTACACTGCACTGTAATAAAACACAGTACGTCATGACAAAGTGCCAGGAAACTGACTCCTGAGCGTCCTCCACTATCTTGACCAAGAGGGAGTGTCCATCGCGACTGATAAACTCTTGTGCAAACGTGATGTCAGTGGAAACTATGGCCAGGAGATTTAGGGAGTCACAGCGAACGTTGGAGTCTGAGCTCTGAATGCCTTTATACAGATCTTCAGCACAGCGGCCCTGAAAATCACACAAGTATAGATCATGGCCATTACTGACCATACTGCTGTGTATGTTTGACTCAAAAACACACAGACTGAGATGTGTTTAGATGCGTGCTAACTGATAATGTTGTGTGAGACTCACTGGTGCTTTGGTTAAGCGCAGGATGCTGCCATTTTTGATGTCCAGGCGGTTCTAGGGCAAAAGTTAAACAGAGAGCCACAGTCATAATGCTATTATTAGATGGCATTAACACTTGCAGAAATGGGTGTCTCACAAAGACAGATGGACAGATAGAGTGCGAGAAACAGACAAAGAACGACATGTGAATATGCTGAATGACGAAAACATGCAAGCATTAAAAGAAAACAACTGAATTAGATAGAAGGGGGGGGGGGACAAAGGGAAAACGAGAGCTGTCAAGATAAAAACATCAGACAAAGCAGTCAAGACAGACAAATCAAACAGAGTTAAGACTGATTCTGCATCAAGCGCAAGCGTATGCTCTGGCGCAGCCTGCACGTGGACGCATAGCCCTCGCTGTAGCCGCCGCCGACGTTGTGCACATCTCAAAACATTTAACTACACAGAACAATGACGCGTAACGCACCGCTGCCAACTAGAGTTTTTAAAGTGTTATTGCAGAGCAACACAAGCAGCATGCAGAAGTATAAATGCACGACTACGCACAAGGCATGCACTGTGGGTCATGCTGATCACTCGACGCAGAAGCATAAACCAGGCTTAGGAAATCCCAGACAGTGCTACAAAAGCAAAGACAAACGAAAAGGCCCACATCCACTAAAGGGTGGCTGACAAACAGACAAAAGTCAAGACAGACAGAGCAGTCCAGACCAAAGAGAAGACAGACAAACAAACAGACAAAAGGCCACGACAAACAGAACAAACAAAACAGTCCACACAAAACAACATAAACCAAACAGAAAAGCGAACAAAAATGAAAGACAAAAGTAAGGATAGAACAGCCAAGACAGAAAGACAGAAGTGAAGACAAACAGACATGAAAAACAGGCAAAAGTCAAGAGAAAGATAAAACAGTCTAAACAAATCAGTAAAGAGAGTCAGAGACACACAGACACAAAGACAAAAAGACAAAAGTAAAGACAGAATGAACAAACATTAAAGACAGACAGAACAGAAAAGACAGAAATTTATGACAAACAGACAAAAGTAAAGACAGACAGACAGAACAGGAAAGACAGACATAAGTGAAGACAGAGAAACAGAACTAAGTCAAGACAGACAGAACAAACATTTATATTGATATAAAGCTTATTATTTTCATGTCATCTTAATAGCAATAACGGTCTTTTCAGGAGCTGTATTAAATGTTACATATAGCTGCCGCTTGCACGACTGGCAGCATCGTGAAGATTAAATTATTAAAAATCTCGCGCTTAAAATGTGTAGATTCAGTGGCAAATGCTGTTACCTGCAGAGAAGTGAATGGCCAGTGAATGGCTTTAGTTATTCTCATAGCGGACTTGAAGGCACTGAAAGTCTTTTATGCACTCTTGGAAAAGTGTAAATGCTGGATTAACATTCAGCACATGATAACTAATAAAATGTGCCATTATCAGTAACTTTAGGTAAGTCTGTCAGTGCTATTTTCATTCTTTCATCTTCAGCACTTCACATTTTCGTGGTTGTGGCTCCTGTCAACTGAAGGCAGAAAGCATTGACCGAGTGATTGACAGCTGATATAAACCAATCATTCCTGTTCAGTTCTAGAGCAGTGAGCCAATAAAAAAAGCACAAAGGCGGGGCAAGCATTGCAGACTTTTTTACTTCAGCAAGTTCACATAACAACTGTATATCTGTTCCTGAGTGCTGCGTTTGGCGTTTTTAGGTGCAAAGATGCATTCTGCATAAATGTCTCCTAAATCAGAGCATGCGGTATTGATTTTGCAGTGAAAACAATGAAAATGTATGTAATGTACTACTGTGAACTCCAACCGAACTCTCGTCTCCTCCACCAGCTGAGGGAAAAGCCATTACAACGACACAGATCACTGTGCCTATTTATGCCAGAGTCCGCGGAGAAAAAGTGACTGACAGGTGGTCATTTGTTTGTAACTTTATTTATTTATGGTTTGGTTATGGGTAAAGCAAAGACCATTTGGGTCAGGTAGTGAAAACGGTAGGCTACAATTAATTAATTTCTTATGAATTAATTGATATTTAACAACCACCCCCAACCCCGCCTACAACAACGATAGCATCGTCCATTGAAATGTTTCACATTAGACATTGTGCGATGATAAAATTGGTCAACATCGCCCAACCCTACAAACATTAAAAACAGATAAAACAGGAAAGACAGAAATGAAAGATAAACAGATAAAAGACAGACAGACAGACAGACAGAGAAAAGTCAAGACAGATCAAACAATCATGACAGACATAAAAAAACTGTAAGGACAGACAAACTCAAATGAAAGAAAAACAGACAAATGTAAAGACAAACAGAAGTGAAGACAAACAGACAGGCAAAAGTCAAAACAGACAGAACAAATAGACTGATCATGGCAGACAGACAAACAGACAGACAAAACTGTAAGGACAAACAGACAGAACAGTCCGAAAAACAGTAAAGACAGACAGACAGAAAGACAGACAAACACAAATAAAAGACAAACAGACAAAAGTAAAGACAGGCAGAACAGCTAATACAGACAGAAGTGACAACAGAATGAACAAACATTAAAAGACAGACAGAACAGGAAAGACAGAAATGAACAGATAAAAATAAAGACAGACAGAAGTGAAAACAGACAAACGGACAAAAGTCAAGACAGAACAAACAAACAGACAGACAACAGACAGACAAAACTGTAAAGACAGACAGAACAGTAAAAAAAAGACAGAAGTGATGACAGACAGAACAAAGAGAAATGAAAGACAGACAGACAGACAGAGGTGACAATATGGGCAAATAAAATGAAAGACAAAATACCCAAGACAGACAAACAAACAAACAGAAAAAAGACAGACAGAACAGGCAAGACAGACACAAGTGAAGACAGACAACAGTCAACAGTCAGCAAAAACAAACAGTAAAGACAGACAAAACAGTAAATACAGCCAGACAGACAAAAAGAAATGAAAAACCAACAGACACAGGTGAAGGCATGGGCAAATAAAATGACAAAAAAGACCCAAGACAAACAAACAAACGAGACAAAAATAAAAAACAGACAGACAGATAGATAGACAAACAAACAAAAAGACAGTTAGGTTGACAAAAAAAGAACTAGAATAGTCTCAAGTGTTGCATCTATACTCCAATTTATTCTCTCATTCTCAGAGTGAACATCTGGAAAGCTAATGCACATGCTGCTTAATGACGACACATGGCCCTACTTTGGGTGTACAAAAGCCCATTTGGAGCACAGCCCAAGATTTAATGGTTTATGTGCACAACCGTAATTCAAGCCTTCTCCTCCACTTGCCTGGGAACTCACAGTCTCCACAATCACTTCTATCACACACACATATTCATATACACAGATGAAGGAGACAGTACATCAACACTCACTTTCATCAGCTCTCAAAATCACATCTACATGATACAGACAGACGGAAACCCACCCAAATACTGACTGTTAGTAAAGGCATTTACAGTAAAACGACAAATAGTGGTTTACAGTCCTCACTCAGAACAGTGGTAATGACCTACAGATTCAGTGATGTACGTCTGGATCCCATCTGCATACTGGAGAGCATAGTTTTCAGGACCCGGAAGATTCCACCTTCAAAAATAATACAACACCCTTTACAAAAACACGTATGTCACATCATGGGCAAATATACATGGACATTTCAGCTATTGGAAAACACATGTGGAGTCAAAAACACACACTTACTTATCACAAACTTCTTTTATGACCGAAGTGAGGGGCTTTTTCTGAAACGAAATGAAATTGTGACAAAATCAATCAATCATTTGAATTCAGTTATATGATTGACTAACTGTACACTAGCTAAAACAACACAATTTGAGCTAATGAAGAGGTAATTTTGTCTCTGTGTATTAATTTCTTAAAAATAAACTGAACTGTAATTAAACAAAATATTATTTGTACATTTTTTCATTAGAGTATTTATATATATATGTGTATATATATATATATATATATATATATATATATATACACACACATATATATATATACACATATATA